TGCAACGAACCGGCGCTGTGGTCCGGGGACCCAGCGCGTGGCCGCCCCGAGCCCTAGGTTCCCCGGCCCGGCTGCCAGTGTCCTTGAGTCCTAACGGCCTTTCGGTCCATATCCAAACGACTTCTCTTCGGAGCGCTCCGCACGCCTTTCTGGGGTGTCGTTCTTGTCCCCGGCCTCCATCCATTTGCAGCGACTTCCCAGGGGTTACGATGAGTGACAGTACTCAGGACTCAGGCACATAGAAAAATCATGCGATATTTAAGGATGGCACAAAGGACCGAGCCGTTGAGGAAGATGCAGCCGCGTGTCTGTGTTTACTTTTCTTTGAACCTACTGTTTCGAGTTGACCTGCGGTGGCTCCCTTCCTGGGGTTGCAGGCCAGCAGGCTCTGTTTGCACAGCGCGCCGGGCGGGGCGGAGGCGGGCCTCTCCGGGATGTCTGGAGGTTATTCGACCAGACTGAGGACGCTGGGGCGGGGTTCCAGGGCAACCGTGACACGCCCAGGCGAGCCGCGGAAGCAGGAAGCTGCGAGGAGCTCAGTGGGACTCGGAGGACAGGTGAGTCGGAGGACATATGAGATGATGGGGTTTGGCGCGCTGGGCTTGCTTTGCTTCCGGATCTTCCTTGTGTCCTGCTGAGCGCTCAGTGCAAGCAGGATTTTACGTGAGTTCTTGTGACCATGTTATAATACTTACGCTTCTAGGTGAATTGCTATTTCATGTCACTGCAAACTGGAACCTCCTTGCCCTTTTAGGATTGCAAATTAACCTATTGAAAAAACAGGTTATAGAGATTAGTTATTTATTTGCTGGAAAATCACTATTACTCAAGGCCCGTGTATTAAGTCTTAGGGGCTTCCACTTACTAGTTTACTGATATAGATTTAAAAAAATCTCTTATCTTAAAATACTATTTAAGATGGAAAATTTAACAGGCAAATAGCCATTGACGACGTCGTGGTAATAATATATTTAAGATAATGAGCAAGTAATAAAAAATTATAGGTCAGTGCATAGTAAATATTTTTTAATGCTTTTTGGGAGTGGGAATTTAGATATTTAATGATAACTTTGAAGTTAAAAGCCAATGGAGAAAATATTTTGCTCCCTGTTGTGGACTGCAGCCACTATTCTTATGTGTTGGGCAATATAGGACAATTTAGTATACATGTCATATATAAATATACTATAATTTAAAAAACCTATTCTTGAACAATAACATAATGTCAGTCATTTTCCTTTAGCTGTGTGGTTCCCAGCATTTTTTTTTTTTTCTTTTAATGTTGGTTAAGTTCCTTTTCTGTGTCTCACAGGGCAGCAGCCATGTGCCCTGCAAGAAGTGGTGCATTTTCCATTTTAGTAATAGTTAACTGAATGAAAGGTTATTCAGCAACAAAACTCTCATTTTCTGTTTATTTCAGGTGAAGGTGCTCTGATTTGGGGGAGCACAAGCCAATTTAGAGCCTTCATATGGCATAGAGTCTCATCTACCAGTTGCATTCTTTAAAAGGTGAGAAGGTGACTTAGTGATACTCCCCTAAACCCAGGCTCCTAAGACTTATTTTAAATATATAAAAGTAGTAGATTTAGTCCTGAAACGAAGCCTTTGTTACAGGATATTGTTAGCTTGTTGGGTTCTGTGTGTGTTTTCTGTTTTAAAAAAATTTGTGGCAAAACCTACATAACATAAAATTTAGTATTTTAACCATTTTTAAGTGTGCAGTTCAGTGGCATTAAGTACATTTGCATTGTTCTGCAACCACCACAGGATCCATTTCCATAACTTTTTCACCTTTCCAAATTGAAACGCCACATCCATTAAATAATAACTCCCACCAACCCTCCCTCAGCCCCTGGTACCCACCATTTTACACTCCTTTAGGTGTTCCTTTTATAATTGGAATCATATAATATTTGTCGTCCTGCAACTGGCTTATTTCAGTTAGCATACTGTCCTCAAGGTTATCTGTGCTATAGCATATATTAGAATTTCATTATTAACATTTCATGAAAAAATGTTAATTATGGTAAAATACACATAAAATTTACCATTTTGCCAATTTTTAATGACTATTCTTTTAGAGCAGTTTTAGGTTCACAGCAAAATTGAGCAGAAAGTTGAGTTCCTGTATACCCCTGCCTCCACATAGTACAACCTCCCCCATTATCAACATCCTCTACCAGAGTGATACATTTGTTACAGTTGGTGAATCTACCTTGATACATCATAATCACCCAGAGTCCATAGTTTACATTACGTCTACTCTTGGTGTACATTCCATGTTGTTTTTTTTTTTTTAACAATGTATAATGACACAGATCCACTATTAATAGTATAATTCAGAGTATTGCCCTAAAATCCTCTGTGTTTCACCTGTTCATGCCTCCCTACTATTCCACCCCAATCCCTGGCAACTGCTTTTTACTGTCTCCATAGTTTTGCCTTTTCCAGAATGTCATATAGAAGGAATCATATGGTATGTAGCCTTTTCAGTTTGGTATCTTTCACTTACTAATGTACATTTAAGGTCTTTCAATGTTTTTTCATGGCTTGATAGTTCATTCTTTTTAGCACTGAATCATATTTCATTGTTTGGATGTTACATAGTTTATCCATTCATCTACTGAAGGACATCTTAGTTGCTTCCAAGTTTTGGCAATTCTAAATAAAACTGCTACAAATATCTATGGGCAGGTTTTTGTGAGGACATAAGTTTTAAACTCATTTTGGTAAATACCAAGCATCACAGTTACTGGATCATAGGGTAAGAGTATGTTTAGTTTTATAAGAAATTGCCAAACTTTCTTCCAAAGTGAACGTACCACTGCGTTCTTACCAACAATAAGTGAGAGCTCCTGTTGCTCCACAGCCTCATCAAGCATTTGATGTCACTGTTCTGGATTTTGGCCATTCTAACAGGTGTGTAGTGACATCTTATTTTAATTTGTATTTCCCTGGTGACATACGATGTGGAACATTTTTACATATGCTTTTTTGCCAATATTCTTCAGTGAGATGTCTGTTACGGTCTTTGTTCCATTTTAAATTTATTTTTAATTCTTAAGTTTTATTTTTTACCCAGCTATATTGAGGTACAATCGACAAATAAAATTGTACATATTTAAAATGTACAACGTGATGATTTGAAATATGTGTATGTGTGATTATTACCACAGTCAAGTTAATTAACATGTCCATCATCTCACATAGTTACCTTTTTTTGTGTGTGGTGATAACGCTTAAGATTTGTTTTCTTATGTTTATCTATTTTTAAATCAGGTTGGTTGTTTTCTTATTGCGTTTCAATATTTCTTTGTATGTGTTGGTTAACAGTCCTTTATTAGATGTGTCTTTTGTAAATATTTTTCTCCCAGTCTGGGGCTTGTCCTCATTCTCTTGAACTACCTTACCCACTTTTAAGTGTATAGTTCAGTAGTGTTGAGTATATTCACATGGTTGTCTAAGTAATCTCTAGAATTTTTCCATCTTACAAACATGAAATTATATATCCATGAAATAATAATTCCCCATTTTCCCTCCCCCAGCCCCTGGCAACTACCATTCCACTTTCTGTTTCTATGAATTTGACTACTTTAGGTACCTCATATAAATGGAATCATAATATTTGTCTTTTTGTGACTGTCTAATTTCATTTAGCATAATGTCCTCAAGATTCATCCATTTTGTAATATGTGTCAAAATTTTTTTCCTTTCTAAAGAGCTGAATAATATTCCATTGCATGTAGATGGATATATACTACATCTCGTTTATTCATTCATCCATTGATGGACATTTGTTTTGTTCCCACCTTTTGGCTATTGTGAATAATGCTGCTAATGAACATGGGTATACTAATACCTGAGTCCCTGCTTTCAATTCTTTTGAGTATATATCTAGAAGTGAAATTGCTGGATCATATAGTAATTCTATTTTTAATTTTTTGAGGAACCACCATACTGTTTTCTCCAGTGGCTGCACCATTTTACGTTCCCACCAGCAATGCATAAGAGTTCCAGTTTCTCCAAGTCTTTGCCAATGCTTGTTATTTTCTATTTTGTTTTGTTCATAACCATCCTGTCTCCACCTTCTCCCTGCTCTTTTGTGAGTAAATTTCCTGAGATCACACACTTCTTAGGCTGCCTGGATTACATAGCCTGGGGCCTAGAGGAGGACCTAGGAGCTACTGAGCATTTCTGTGTACTTCCTTCTCTTTTAGAAGAAAGCTGTTTTCTCCAAAGAGGCTCAGAGAAGATTGTCATTACTTCTCTGTTCATCAGAGAGCTACTTGAGTGTTTCATTTGTAGAGTTCCTCACAGGGCCTGCTGAGACTTTTCCATGTACCCATTTGCCAGTCTTTAAAATTCTGCCTCACCCTTTGATCAAAAGGAACAGGAACAATGTCTGTATAGTTTCCTCTTGTTTCTATGACTGGAGACTGTTAAGCATTTAAAGGCAGATCATGGACCAAAAGAACGATAATATGTATGTTTGTAATTCTAAAATGTTTGGGGAAATAAGACTAAATGTAAGCCACTTAATGCCATAGACATTTATTGAGCACCTACTGTTTGTAGGCACCATGCTGGGCCATAAGAGGAGGTGGGATATGAAAATAAACAAGGCAACATCTCTGTTTTAGAGAGTTTACAGCCTAGTGCAGTACACATAACCAGCACACATGGATACATCTATATAAAAATGGAAACAAAAGTTTCATGAAAGAAACTTTGCTATGCCTTGCCTTTACTATGTGTAGTATAGGCTAGTATTTTCTATTCTGTTTTTTAAAATTCTGGTCACAAATCATCAAATTGAGTTCATAAACCAGTGATGGGTCAATTTTAGCTTCCTGAAAAGCTCTGGTATAGCAGGTGTCATTAAGCTGTTTCAGCACTTTAGTTCTTACCAAGGCCTTTCAGAACCTTTAATATTGAGCATAGCTCCCTTACAGACAAGGAGAGGTCCTGAGAGGCATGCATCTGCCTTTTGTTCCTAGGCCAGGCTGAACTGTGTTTGGAAGGCCTGTATAGTTTTCCTGTTGGATTATCATTTGATGAATTTACTAAAACTGACAAATTGAACTTGGAGAGTGAAAACAATAGCATTTTCGTAATTTTGCTTTTTGAACCCAAACCTGCAAAGGAAAGCTTTTAATATGGGCAGAATTATCACTTACAAGAAAGCAAAACACAGAATATAGTCTTTATTCAAATCTCTCATTTCCTAATTTTATAGTCTAGTGGTACAAGATGAATAAACTCATTTTTTTCCACATTATTTATTGATCTGATGAAGGACCAGACCCTCTTTTCATTTAGTCTAGGAAAGAACACATTTTCTCTCCTGTTAGCCTGTGAGAGCTTACACATGGAAGGGATGGTAGTGTTTATTCAGGCTGTGTGGCTGTGGAGATTTTAAATTGTTGGGCTGCTTATTATGCTTGAGATAAAATTTAAGGTTTACTTTTAGAGAGGGACTTCAGATGTGAAGCATTAGACAGTGCAACTCAATAAATAAGTAAACAGGTTCAGACCCTGATGGCCATAGCTTCTAGATTCTCTCCAATTATTGGCCTTTGTTCTCTCTAACCTGATTATAGCTATTTGAATTGAGTACTGTTGCATTGAGCCTGTTGGCATTCTTCAGATTTTAAACTTTACTCTGTAATCTAATCCTGACATACTTGCCTCAGAGAAAAATTTACTTTTTAAAAACACTTTCATGAACATCATTTCTATCAATTAGCATAACATCAGCGGAGGTAGGTATTGTGATCCCTATCATGAGGCTCAGAAAGGGCCCGTGGCTTGCCCAAGGTCTCAGAGCAGAACTGCGGCATTCTAAGTCTCCTAATGAATGGCCCTGTGTAGGATATTTTTTTATTTCTCTGTGGGAAAAAAGAACATAGAAGTTTGAGGGAAGGGCCAGGGCTCTCCTAACCTTTAGTTTCTTTGTGCAAGGCCCTCCTTATCAAAGCTGACCAGTTAGTCATCCTCTGAAGCAGTCAGCCTAGAGGCACAGGGCCCAGCTGGGTGGGCTCAGTAGGATCAAACTTACTTGAGAGTCAGTCAGGTTAGGGAGAGCTGTGTTGCCTGTGAGTGCAAACCCATGGCTTCTCTCTTGGTGTCATCTGTCCCGTTCTTTTTGGTCCAGGGAAGCGGGAGGGCTGCAATTTTGTTTCCTATCTGGTCCCTGAATCCCACTGTGGCCTCACTTGTGAGGGCAGCATCGCCTTACTTGTTCTATGCCACTCATTTTTCCTTGCTGTGTTCTAAGATCTTAGCTTTACTACCAAAACTCTGTTGTCTCAGAAGTGGGTGTAGAAGAGCAGTTATAAAGTTGTCATCTTGGGAAACTTAGAGCCTGTAAAGAGCAAAGATTTGCATACTGGAAGAATTCTAAACTGAATCCCAGAAGATTGGGGTCCTGTCCCTGTCGGCTTATCCTCTGTGGTCTGAAAAAACATTAAAGTTTTAGGAAGTTTTAACTGCTGTTTTGGCCTTAGCTTCTAGGATCTAGGAGATTCTAGGCTCTTCGAAAGAAACGAGATAGTAAGATCAAATGGTTGCTTTTCATATATTTGATTGAATCAAAACAAAGGAAATTAGATGGTATTAAGGATTATATCATTATTCCTTAGAGTTTCTCTTTTCTGTCTTTTATGAATATCAGCCAAATAGAGAATCCATGCCCTTAGTCACATTGGTGAATGGTTACTAACAACATTGGTACAATCATTCTAACGTTTGATTGCAGACAGATGGATGACAGCAAAAAAGAGTTGTTACTTTCTCTTCATCTGCATCAGATTAGGCACTAGCTTTATAGGGCGAAATTATCCACAGGGTGACTACACATCCTGAACTGCCTGTAACAGCCCTGGGTTATGCCGTGGTCCTGTTTTTATTATGATTAGTACACATTTCACTCTCAAAGGTGTCCCCAGTTGGAAGATAAAGTGTATGGTCACTCTAGTCATGTGGCATGTGTGGTCCAACCTTAGAGAAAACAGAGATGGCAAGGAAGCTCCAAGCAGGACAAGCTATGGTGTGTGATCACCGGTGGTCTGGACCCAGTTGATAAAGATGTTGTGGATTTTCTGCGTAGAATTCCGGTAAGACAGTTGATCATAGATTACGTGCACGATTTCCTCTGATCTCTCCAAGAGGACATATTTAAAATCTAGCACCTATGTGCTGTTCTCTCTTTAATCAAGTACAATACTTAATAAAAATAATAAAAATTATTTTGAGTGCAGACAGAAGAATGTTAAAGACTTGAGATACAGAGCTCTTTATTTCACTCCTATCCTGTCATTTCATCTGTTTTGAAAAGCCACAAATGGAGTGAGTCCTTCCTAGTACAGAACAACTGTCAGTGCCCCATTTGAATAATCATGAAGATATTTCCTTATTTTATCAATTTCTGAAAATATTTTCAATTCTGGGTTTTCCATTTTTGGTAATGGCTCAAAATACATGTTTGCCCCTGTTTACTTGTTTTTAGGTAAGTCTTTAAAATTTTCCAAATATAGTGGTTGCTTATTATAGAACACCAATGTGAAATAAGCTAGGGACTTTTATAGGGACTGGGGCTTATCTGCAGATGTGAACGGGGATGAAAACTGAATTTCACAGAAATTATTTTATCATGTTTTGATTCCTATCAACCATAGGAAGATTTCTAGATTCAGCTTAGAAAATCATCTTTCCAGAAAAGGATTTTCTTTATTTATTGGCTGAGCTAGGATCTCTGGTCAGTGTCGCATAGCCACTACCCCCTGTAAGACTTCTGGAACCACTCCCATAGCTGAGTGTTCCATAACCTTCAGGTCACCATCCATTTTAAGATTTTCATCTTGAGCATTAGTTGAGGAACCTTAAATAAAATGCCACCTCTTATAGCCTGTCCTTTTATCAACCTTTCTCTTCAGATGTGTCAAAAATAGATGTTTTCTTTATAGGGTGCAAAGTTTATATATATCTCAGATGAATCCATAAACATTTTAAAGGTTCCCATAGAGAAACCACTGCACATAAATGTCTTATTACAGAAGGCCATCCAGAGTTTTAAAGCTAATTTGCAGGCGAAAAGTCCATACTGTGAAAGAATATATAATCTGAGTGCAGTATTCATAGATAGGGCTCCGTCAGACCCTGTCCTCTGAGCCCAGAGTGAAATACATTGTTTGGATATCTGAAGTACATTGTGCATGAATATTTACTCCTTTTGTGGAAAAGAGTGTAGAAAAGTAATGAATTCACCAACATCACAGGAAGCTTATCACCTATTGATTTTTAAGGCCCTGGAGGGGGTGACAGTAAATCCTTTTTGGATCAAATTACACTTAAATAACATTTGTTGACTTTCCCTATTATGTTTATTACCTTAAACATCCTTCTGATAGATTTTTGTTTAATGATTTCCAAAGCAGTAATAAAATTTTATCATCTTAGTAGGAAGGTATACTGATAGCATTATTCTGGTCTATGGAAGTGAAGAGACATCCTAGCCAACCAGTTATTATCCTTATTAGTAATCAGACTTATTATTATTGTAAGTTTATGGGACAGTTTGTTCATTTGGGAACGTGATAGTAGCATTAAGAACCGTAATCCAATCCTTTCCCTTTTCTCAGGTACATGGCTAAGACCTCACCTGGACACCTTCTGCACCTTACTCAGGATTCTACAGTTTTCTCATTGGTGAATTCTTGATGGATCTGACTCTTGGTTGCTGGCAACTCCATCCAGGGCAGGAGAAATGGCTACTATCAAACTCTGGTTTGGAAGGCAGAATTTTCATCTGTTGAAGAGTTTTTTGCTGTTGAAAATTATAGCTGTTGTCTTTGCCGTGGTTCTATTTTGTGAATTTTTAATTTATTACTTAGTGATCTTTCGGTGTAATTGGCCTGAGGTAAAAATTCGAGCCTATGACGGTAAACGAGAGACTCTTGAACCTGTGCTGAAAGCCATGTTTTTGGCTGATACCCACCTGCTCGGGGAAGTAAGAGGCCACTGGCTAGACAAATTACGAAGGTAGGAACTAAAAACCATGAATCATTCTGAAATTCTGTAGGAAAAAAGACATAATCCTCTCCCCATAGGTCAGGGTTAATGGCTTCAGAGTACTCATTAATTTATATTTTTCTTTCAAAGAAGGACATATAAGATATTTGACTTTTCCTTTAATTTACTATTTACAGAGTATCTGTTATGTACAAAGACCCAGAAATTGGAAGGCAGGTCTGGATTTGAGTCTTGTGACTTTGGACAAGTCACTAGGGCCCTCCAAGCCTGTCTCTGCCCCGTCGTTTGTAACTGGGTTAATAAGAGAAACTCCACAGGCTATGGGAAGAAAATGCCCACAGCAACGCCCAGCACATGGCCGTGGGCTGCAAAGGTAGTTTTCTCTTTTCCCTGGGTGGGAAGGACACAGAGCTGGGTTGGTGGTCTCCTCTCATAGTCACTGGTGTGTAATTTTGAGCTCACTGGTTTTTGCCCACTCTGGGCAGCAGAACAGAATTTTGTTGTCCCCCTGGGGAGAGGATCAGGTACTGTTCCTCCACCTTAGACCTACCCAGCATTGTCTGTTTTCCCATCAGGAGGCTTTTTAAAAGATGTAATTGTGGTGAAATACACATAACATAAATGTTACCATCTTAAACATTTTTATGTAAGTGTAATTATAATTGTCCTTTTGGTACTAGCTTATTTTACTTAGCATAATGTCTTCAAGGTTCATCCATGTTGCAGCGTGTGTCAAAATTATTTTTCCTTTTTTTAAGGCTGAATATCTATTGTATGTTTACACTACATTTTGTTTACCCATTCGTCTGTCAATAGACTCCTGTGTTGCTTCCATCATTTGGCTACTGTGACAAATGTCCACCAAAAGGCCATTGATGAGTGCTTTCAACCACCAGCTGGTTGAAAGCTGGCGACCCTGTACCTGGTGACCCTGTACCCTGACCCCTTTTCCTTACCAGGGCTTTGTCTGTGCCTCTCTGAACAGGTCTCTAGTCTTGTGCGAGGGAGTGTCCTCAGAGTGTTTTGGATATAGATGAACCCTACGTTGGGTGGCGAGGGGAGATGTGTGATGTCCCAGGGGTGGGTTAAAAAGATAAGATGAAACAAGGGCATATGGAGGGGCTGCTGTACTTTTTTACTCAGAGTTTTAAACCAAAAGAGGCTCGATATAGAGAAGACCAGAGTGAGACTGAGCTCCTTGGGCTTTGTTTCGGTCTCATAGATCACGCTTTATTTATGACCCTTGAGTAGCCTTCCCTGCCCTCTTGTTGCTGCTGTTTCCAGATGCTTTCTTCTCCAAGGCGAATGACATAAGTCGAGAAAAATGGAGAATTACATTTGGAGAGGTATCTTGAGTGAAAATGTACCATGTAGTGGTTTATATGGGGCCTAAAACGTCTCCTCTGACCAGAAGTTACTGTCCCCTATTAATGTGCCCCAGGGCGGAACATTCCCCGTTTGCAGGGGAGAAGCAGCCAGAAACATACCTTAAAAAGGAGGGAAAAATTGGAGTCCTTAAGAAAATGACACAGATCAGAGTTGGTTAGGGAGAAGAGAGGGAGGGTTGAGAAAGCACTAACATTTTTGAATACCAGCTATGTGCCAGAATTTTACAAATGCTATCTCATTCAGTCCCATAACTATCCTGTGAAAGTAGGTTTTTATTGTCTTCATTTACCAACGAAGAAACTAGGAAACTAGGAATCAAAGAAAGTAGCCAACATTTTCAAGGCAGCACAACTGGTTCATGAGTGGAGCTGGGATGTTAAGCCATTGCCCGTCAGGTTTCAGGTCCCAGGCTCTTTTCATTTGCTTGTCTCACCTACAGATTGATTACTTGTGTGCCTGAAGTCTACAGGATTTAGTTTTGATATTGGCTAGTGTGTTTCTCTCCGTGTCTCTTCCCAACTCTGAAAGCAGGAAAGAAGTTGAGGTCCCTTCAAGAAGAAGTGAAAGTTAAGCCAGATGGCTGTCATTTCCTCAGAGTGCTGCCAAATCACTCCACATTGGGCAGTTTTGGAAGCAGCATAAAGCTTTCAGATCCCTGGGGCTTTTGTGACTGAGTGATGGCTTTGGGGTACAGTATAGGGACTGATCTGTGGGTACCACACAGGGCAAGCCACCCTTTGATATATGTGAGAACAGCAGCCTGACTCTCCTTTGGCGACTTTGTGACCCACTTTTAATCAGATATTGACTGTCTGCCTCCTCTAAGCTGTGGATGAGAATGCGATAATGGGGCCATGGAAGAAAGAGAATGGGACCATTTAGTTCACTTTTTAAATGACCCCTTAGACAGATGTAGTCTCCAACCAAGAAACAGACCAATGCCTTTTTCCTGTTGGTCTCTATAGGGAATGGCAAATGGAGAGAGCCTTCCAGACGGCTCTGTGGTTGTTGCAGCCAGAAGTTGTCTTCATTCTGGGGGACATCTTTGATGAAGGGAAGTGGAGCTCCTCCCAGGTAGGACCCTGCAATCCTGGCACCCTAATCCCACTTTCAGGGTCCTTCACGGCAGCCCAGAGGATCCATGAAGCAATATCAGCTAGGGTTGGAAGTTTTGCTTAATACCAGTATTAAAAATGTATAGTCTGTCTTGAAGGTTATTAGGATCTGTGTCTAATGACAATCTTGAGTTAGGTTGACTAATCTTATATTTGTCTGTGTAGGAAATATGTAGATTAGCCAGCTGTCACTTTGTTGGAATGCACATTACCATGAACCTCTTGAGAAAGGGCAATATTGGCAAGATGGATGCTATTTCAGTTGTCTCCAAAATTACAGAATACACATGGAAATGTAATTTGACTTTACACTCTTATTTAACTATTAAACCATAAGAACCATGCTATAAAAGTTATTTGTTACTGTCCTCTGATTTTCTTTCTTCTGAGAGAGAGGTGCATAAGGAGCCATGGGGGCTTAGCATGAGGTTCGTTTGTCTTCAGAGGTCCCTGAGACCTCTGCCTGGGTATTGAGGTAGGAGCCTTTCTACAGACCAAAAAGAAATTCTGTTCTCACCTTAGCTGTCAGAATGCTTTGCTTTTACATTCCTAGAATTAATGAGAGAAAAAAAAAAAAAAAAAACTCTTCTTGCTGCTTGGTTAAAAATGTTTAGTCACTGATAGTTTTTAGAAGATAGTAAAAATACATTGGCATTTCACAGGACAATCCAAAAGCTGTACAAAGAAAGTTTTGGTGCAGATATGATAGAAACTCATGGTTTGTAGGGTTGTAATGTTTGTTTTATCTAGTTCAAAATTAAATATGATAATGGAAATGTTATATGTAAAAGGCAACTAATTATAAAATGATATTGGATGTATATGCTGTTTTTCCAAATTAAGGGCAACATTTTTATGTTTCTATGTTTTTCTAATTTTATGTTATTTTAATTTTATATTATTCTAACTTTAAATATTCTTTGTTAAAGTGAAATCTTTGTAAATGTGTTGAGGGACTCTCTACACAACATATTTCCCTAGGTTGGGCCATATTTAAAACTTTTAGGATAAAGTTGATTACTATTCAACTAGGTATTGTCTACCCTAGAGTGTCCAATTGATGTTTTTAAGCTTAATAAAAGTAAGAACCATGTACACAGAATTCTCAAGCTTTGATAGTTAAAGCAAATGTCGGAATATTCTTGAAATATTTGTTGGATGGTATCTTTCTTTCCCCCACTTCTCATCAAGTCTCACCCCCACAGTTGTGGCCACAGGGAAATGCTCATGCTGAAGGATTTGCTCATTCTTGTCTTGAGACACGTAAATTTACTCGACATTTCCTAAGAGTCTCTTATAAAATGTTCAGATCTGATGTAATTCTTAAGCTGGGGTCCATGTGTCATCTTCAAGGGATCTTGAAATAATGGGTGTATCAACCAAATATTTTGGGGATTTCCAGTTAATGTTTTAAGATGGGGGATACCATTTAATTAAAATTTGGCATCAAATAATTAAAATATTCATTTTGGATAAGAAGTTTGATGTAGAATTAGAAATTCTGATTGGTACATTAGCTTCATGAACATCTGATTTGGACAGGGAATTCTCACCATCAGAATGGGGGTTGTGATTTTTTAGCCACAAGGAAGAAAAGGTTCTCTGGGTCTCAGCAGTGACTCTTTTATTCCATAGGCCTGGGCGGATGATGTGGAGCGGTTTCACAAAATGTTCAGACACCCACGTCATGTGCAGCTGAAGGTAGTTGCTGGCAACCATGACATTGGCTTCCACTATCAGTAAGTAGTTCACTAAAGCCTTGCAACATGGTAGCTCTTGCTAACTATAATTCTGAACCTGCTACAGTTCCGATGAAAGCCTTATTTGGGCTGTGTAGAGGGAATTTGTATTCCTTGTAAGATGTAAGCTCTGGAATGTAAACTTCGTGAAGGCAGAGTTTTGTCTTGGTGTGTCGTCACCCTCAACAAATCTCTGTGAAATGAACGATCTGTGTGTGCCCTTGGATGATTCTAACTGGAAACTTACCTTTAATGGCCAGTTATTTTCTTTGGGAATCAGGAAACAAGATGATTTAGACTTTAATAGCTAATGTTTATATAGTGCTTATATGTGTCAACCTGTTTTAAGCACTTTACTTCCATATATTAACTCTTTTCATCTTTATATGTTCCTCTTATTTTACTCATTGTACCAGTGAGGAAACTGAGGCCCTGGGGACAAAGTCCCTTGCCAGGCCTTACCGTTAGTCAGTAGGGGAGCTGAGAGTGGCACCTACTTAGTCTTGGGCCAGCTAGAGCTCTCAGTTAACAATGCTAGTCTGGCACTCAAATCCTGAAAGTTATTTTTTGTGTTCATGATAACTCATAAGAAGTTTTAAAATGGCCTGAAAAATGTTTCTTTTTGCAATTGAATGTAGGATGAGCACATACAGAATAAAACGATTTGAGGAAGTTTTCAACCGTGAGAGGCTGTTTTCATGGAAAGGAATTAAGTGAGTATTATTTGCGGATTCTCACGAAGACCTTTAGTCCTTGGAAACTTAATTTTTCAGAAGTGATTGCTATACTGGGTCAGACCCATGCTCTGTCTGGCCTGGTTTTCAGTCTCTGATGAAGGCGCCTCAGGCTGGCCTTGTTTATGGTCCCCCTGGGAGTAACTGTCTTGGTTTTCCCTAACAACCTATAGTGAATTGGTTAGTTTATTACTTTACCTAGCCACCAAGAGAATTTTATTCTTTCTGTCGATACTGTCTCTGGGTGGTATAAATTTCATCAGCCCACTTTGTAAAGGAGTATTTTTTATTTGCTTAAAATTTACTTATTTCCCTTTATAAAGGTTGTTCCTGTGGTTATAGTATCCTAGGATTTGGTGGCAAGTGTGTTCACTGTGCTCTATAGCTCTGCGCCTACCCACTCCCATCAGCCTTGGTTTTTTATTTAATATATATATATATTTACCATAATTCGGTTGGCAGAGCTTTTATTTCCATAGTGATACATGAAATATTAATTCATTTTAAAGCTGAGATCATTTTAGAATTGATGAAATGTGGTATAGTTTGTTGGATTATTTCTTTCCTTCCTATCATAACTGTCTAGAATGTATGTGCATAGAGTATTAGACCCTCTGAATTGGGCATCTACAGCTCAACTTTTCTCTATTTTTCATTCTTTTTTTTTTTTTCAAATACAGTTGACATTCAATATTATTTTATATTAGTGGTTAGAAATTTATATAATTTATGAAGTGATCTTTCCAATTAGTCAAGGATTCACCTGGCCCTATACATAATTATTATGGTATTATTGACTATATTCCTTATCATCAGCCTTAATTTTTAGATCAAAGCTTCCTAACCCTATAGTCTGACCATCAGCACGAGCTTCCCCTCTGCATGACCATTTTTGTGCACGACTCTGGACCCTTTCTGGGTGTGTGTGTGTGTGTGTGTGTGTGTGCGCGCGTGTTTGCAGCACAGTGTACCAGACTGTACGCATTATTCTAGCTGCAGACCTAGTGGAGAGAGAAAAGGTGGTAGAGGAAGTTTTTTCCTATTTTGATCATATCCTTTCCCTGGTGTCCAGTACTCCGTTGGCTTTGGCTGGATCAGCTCACTAGCCTGTCAAATGAGATGACCTGTGTGAAGCTCCCCAGAGACCAGGGTTCAGTGGCTTCTCCACAAATGCTTGCTCCTTTCATCTTTTTGCCTGTAGCTGCCAGACTAACTTCTTTTCCCGAGTTATAATGGAGACTTGGCACAGTTTAATTTTTTTCTCCCTTGTCATAGAGTTTAGGAAATTTTAAACACACTGATCATATTTCGGATCATTTGATTAGTCAGCAACTCATCTCTAAAATTCTTTAAATTTCAAACAATCTTTATGACCCATACCTTCTTCATGTGTATAGGAAATAAAAGTGTATATAATGAGATTTTATAGAAAATATAATTAAGGTAAAGTGATTGCAAAGGAGAATCATAATTGACTTTGGGATTATCCATACTAGTCAGCTCTAACCAGCACCCCCATCCCCCAACACTGCCTTCTTTGCTGGGTGCATGGATGTTGCCGAATGTTGCCCATGGTTTACTTTACGTAGTGATAACAATATCTAACATTTTCTGAGTACTTTCTACTGGCATGCCCTATTCTGTTGTATTATTTCATTAATCCTCACAATGCACTGATGGCGTGGTGTCCTATTTCTATTCCCATTTTGCATATGAGGCACAGAGAGACCAAGTAATTTGCCCAAGGACACATGGTTCAATGCTGAATTTAGTGGTAGTTTAACTGCAGAGCTTCTGTGATCTGGGATTTATT